TATATAATACTCTATTACAAGTATTTCACATGAAAGGCAAATCTTTCAGCAGAGTAGATTACATTTTTACTGAAAGCATGGTTTATGCCAGTTCTTCCCTGTCCTTCTACAAAGCAGGAAGTCCTGTTTCTTATGGGTATTTCACTTCTAGTAGACACCAATTAAATATTTATTGGGTGAGCGAGTGAATGATAAACTCAGTGTTTCTTAAGGGAGTTTTCAGTTCAGGGGAGAGGTGGCTGTCAGGGGGCAATGACCCAAGGGAAACTGAGCAAGAGCAGCCAGTGTAAAGGAGGAAGTCACAGACAGCCATCTCCAGACAGCAATGGGGCTGCCTCTCCAGTTGCTTTGAATTTTAATGTGTGGAGCAGATGGTTGGTATAGATTGCCCTTGTTTTTGCCCAGGAGCCTGGCATCATTGTTAGTTGTCAACCTGTTTGGAGCATAACGTTTGAGCCTGTAGGTACGTCACAGTCACAGAGCTCTGTTTTGCAAACAGATTATTTAATGGCTCCCAATGAGGTAGATGTGGGACCCTCCAATTTTAGGCAGCAGTCCATCATTTTTCTAGGGTAAGGCCAAGTCAACAGACTGGGGTGAGTATTGAGGACCAAACCCATCTGGCTGGCAATCTATGTAATCCTTTAACCATTAAACTGTGAGTGTTAATGAAGCCTAGTGAAAATATATAGAACATTTACACAAAACATTCCACCCCCTCAGCAGAAGCCCTATGTCCAGACTGGCAGCAATTAGTCTTAGCACCCATTTAATGCCAACTCACTCCTGACCACAACCCCTCAGAGGAAATCCACCAATTATCTCTAAGCATTTCCTTACAGTGGACTGATCTGGGCGGTAGGTTGAAAAGCAATCCTGTGCTTCCGGCTATCTGGACAGGGTTGCGATCCTCCCTCGTGGCAAATTTCTGAGGACAGTTTAGACATCTGTCTTGCTGGAGGAGACCTAGGAGAGGCTCACATTTCCCATCAGGCCGGGGCTCTGGAACCAGGTGCCCATCCGGAAAGACATGAGAGTAGCCAGGCTCCAGGGACCTGGGGCTGGCTAGGGAGGGGAAATGCCACAGATCCCGAGGCTGAACAGAGTGGGTCTCAGGCAGAGACAGTGGATACTGATTCACAGGCAAGGGACCAGACATATTCAAGCTGCTGTTGTTGGCACTATTTGCACGCGACATTTCCAGCTGTGACTTCGTCCAAGGAGAAGAGAAACGCCACTGATTTGGAGGCATGTCACTATCTGGAAGAAAAGATTTAGGAGACATGTCAGGTGTTTACTTATAATTTTTGAAATGGAAGTAGCTTTTTTTCAGGTTAATTCATACTATACTTGTTAACTTGAAGAAAATAAAGAAAAAGTAAAACACACACACATTAATCATAGTATTCATAAACAGACATTGTCCTCCTTTAGTTGTACTTCTTTCTAGGATTTGTTTCTATTCATATATGCATTCTCTTCACAACATGTATCATTATTAAAGCTGATTTTGCTTCATCAATATATACAAATATTCTCCCACAGCAATGAACTGATCCAAACACCAACTTTTAAAATGGGTATACACTATTCCTATAGGAGAAAATAATGGATTAACAGATGTCATATTTGCGGGCAATTCAGTTACTTCTGTTTTTTAAGTTATAGTAACAACATGGCAGTGAGCAACTCTGTACATACATCTTTGTCCCCTTGTCAAATTAGCCCCTTAATAAAACTTTTCTAGAAGCAAAAGTGGTTAATTTGTGTTTGGTTGCTGATATTGTTTACCTCTATTTCATAGCTACTGTTCTAAATACACCTAATAGGAGGACTCCATAGAACATTAAAAAGGGTTTAACACTTGCTTGTTGTTATTCAACAGGCAACGGTTGGTCATTAACACAACTCAAGGTTTGTTTGTTTGTTTGATTGTTTTCAGAGAAATCTGAGGTACAGAGATGTTAAGAGACTGAACCAAGGGGACAAAAAGCAGATTAGCCCAGTAGGGAACTGAACTGTAGAAATGAGTGATGGGTAAAAAAAAAGTAGTTGTTTGGACCTCATCTTTAAAAGCAGAATTATTAGGGCAAGTCAGTTTCTTCTTGCTCACTCTGTGTGGACACACTAGAAGGGAATAAAGTCTCCTTTAGTTCCATAGACACTATGTTAATTGTGCCTATTATAACTAATAGCTAAATCTGCTATCTCCAAGATAGCTTCCAACATGGATACATGTTTTCTCCATTCTCAACACCCACTTAGACAAGAGGGGAGGAGGGAAATAACTCTGACAGATGGTGTTAAAATCCTGGAGCCTCTCATCTATCCAAGATATTGGAGGAGGGGGACATGAGTAAGGAGACAAAGGAAGATTGGCTGACAGGAGATCCTGAGACACTGGGCCCTTTTCTCTCCATGGGCACCTCTCCCAGCTCTCCTTACTGTTCAGTTTGACTGGATTTTGTACAAGATGAAAACATTTGAGAGGCCAGTACAGTTTTACAGGAGTGACCCCACCCATTACCTTGGCTTTCTATGTAACATAGATATTTTAAAAAAGAAGCTTAAACCCACATGGCAGACACTCTGCTCAATATCTCATACCATTTACAGTGAGCAATTGGCAATGGTGGGATTCTTCTAATGAAACCAAGGACAAGGAAATACATTAGGGTGTGTTCCCAGGGGTAAATGTTATTTTTGAAAACTGATATCTCCAGGCCAGTAGCAATTCAGGGCACTGTGTGGTACAAACAGAGTGATTAAGTTGATTTCATATAATCACTGTCCATGTTTCATATTGGATGAAGGTACTGCATGTCCTAAGCACAAATTAGAAACAAAGCATAGCCTCTGAAAACGGACAGTTTCCATCTGGACTGTCCTCAGAGATCTCATACATATGACTTAGGTGCTTGCTAAATGCTTGAAATATAAAAAGCAGGACCCAAGGTGCTTTGAATATTTTTCTTAACTGCTTACCTACCAGAATTCTCTAATAGAAATGTTAAAGGGAGTAGGTAGTGTGCCATTGTTTAAGTCCTATGTGGTCACCTGGTGCTCTAGAGTATAGTCTGAATGGGAGCTTGGAGGGATGCTCAGGATTATGAGTTCACAGCAACCCAATAGCTATAGGTGGCTTGGAAAAACTCACTCTTCCCGACTAAGCTTGGTTGTTGGTGGCCCATGGTGTGGAGACACTACATTTGGGTTGGCCATGCTTTCTCAGATTTCTTGAGCCAACTACTCTGGCAATCATGCCCATCTTCACTGTGGATAGAGGAGGATATCTCAAACCATATTCTTAACTTACTCAAGGTTACTGCTTACTAGAAGTGGCTCTGGTGACATTTCCACTCAAATGTCCCCTCTTAGCTACCTCTAGAGGTGTGTGTGTGTGTGTGTGTGTGTGTGTGTGTGTGTGTGTGTGTAGGCAGAGGAAGATAGAGAAAGAGAATGAACACACCTCAGGGATGATATTGCAGCCTTTTCAAACCACGAACTACATTAACAGATAAAGAGCATGTGAGGAACATTTTGATTCAAAGACTCTTGGGGTAGGTTGGGATTTTTCTTTCAGTAAGAATCCAGATGGCTTTCACTCCATATACTCTGACCTTGGACATCAGACCATTACCTTTTGCTCCATCCATGCTTCTAGTGTGTAAGTGTGTGCTCTTAACCATTTAAAATTTTTTTAAAAAAATATTTAATTTTTAGTTGTAGTTGGATGCAATACCTTTATTTATTTATTTTTATGTGGTGCTGAGGATCGAACCCAGGGCCTCGCATATGCTAGGCAAGCGCTCTACCACTGATTCATAACACCAGCCCTGCTCTTAACCAATTTGCGTGCTGCTCTGCTCAATATGGAAAGGTTCAGCTTGAAGGGATGTGTGTATGTGTGTGTGCATGTGTTTGTGTATATGCATACAATTTTGCAACTATGTATTTGTGTGTAATTTTGTGTGAACATGTATGTGGCTGCATTTATGTGCATGCATTCATTGAAATGGCATTTAGTCATGTCTTACCACATGTTAAGAACCTGCACAAATTCTGGGGACAAGACAGTGAACAAAAGAGAAAAGATCTCATCTCTCTTAACGTTTACTGGGCCAATTTTCTCTCTAGAAATCCAGAGAGAATTTTTCTGAGAGAGTAGTATTTAATTTTTGTATGAATAGAAATTCGTTTGGAATAGGGAGTCATAGCCATCACACAGGAGCCAGGGCCGCCGTGATGGGATAGAGTGGAAGATAGTCTTCTGGCATAAAGGCAAATGCTTACATGCTTCTAGAAATTTCAAGATTTTCCAGAAATATATATGGGTAATTCCAGGGGCCCTTGGTCCTAAAACCAGGCCTATGCACAGAGCGCTAATCTCCATTTTTTGTTCTGCCTATTTGGAAGAAACTGGTAGGCCATTTCCCTATCTCCCAAGCACACTCAGAGACATTATTAATTCTTACTCATATATACTCTCTCTGGATTTCTAGAACAAAGATTGTTATCCTGTTACTTTCTGTGACTACATCCTCTTTACTTCCTTCATAGTGGTAATCCTATAATTTCTTCAGTTACTCATTTATTTGATATTGGCCCTCTCCTCTACTCAGTAAACGTTAAGAGAGATGAGATCATTTCTCTTTTGTTCACCATCTTGTCCCCAAAATTTGCACAGTTCTTGACATATGGTAGGACTTGACTAAATGCCATTTCAATGAATGCATACACATATATGCAGTCACATACACGCTCACAGAAAATTGAACACAAATACACATAGTTGCAAAAATGTATGCATACACACAAATACATGCACTCACACATGTGCATGTGTGTCTATTTGGGGATCTGGTTCAGTCTTTTATAACAACTTACTTTCCTAAGAACTAACTTAGGGTCCCATGAGAACTACCTTCAAACTGAACTATCCCTTCAAACTGAACCTTTCCATATTGAGCAGAACAGCATGCGAAATTGTTAAGAGCACAGACTTTGAAGTCAGACAGGCTTGGAGTCCAGTCCCAGATCTTTCATATCCTAGTCATGTGACACTGAGCAAGTCCCCTCCCCTTCTGTGCTTCCTGGGACTGTTGTGAGATTGGATAAAACAATCCATGCAAAAGGGCTTAGCTTAGTACCTGGTATATACTAGGATCTCAATAAATAGTAGCTCTTTTATTCATATTATTAATCATTTCAGTTTATAAACCCAGTTTGGCTCTTTTTTTCTGGTTTGCAACACTCAGTATAATCAACCCAGGAAGAAACAAGATGGTAATTAAGGTATGAAGCCTAAAGAATCCACCCTGCCATTAGTTACCTAGTGCCAGAGAATGTAAAGGAAGAAAGGACTGAGCTGGGAAGCCCCCAACAGCAGCAGAAGTTGCTATACAGGAAAGATTTCAGAAGCCTTTGCTCAGTCTATGTCCATCCCCAGGGAATAAGATATCAGAAGTGGGCAGGAACAATTTTTAAATATAGATTAGCTTTTGTTTACTGAGCAATGACTATGGATCAGATGTTTTGCTTAGCACTCTGTATATATGAGCTCATGTGATCCTCACAGTAACCAAAATGAGTAAATAGAGTCTGAGAGGTTAAAGTAACTTGCCTTAAGGCCCACATGGTCGGTAAGTGAGAATGCTATCTCATTCCAAACCTCATACTCTTACTGACTGTGCTTCCACAATATTCCAAAGAATGCAGTAAGCTGGGCACTTTCACACACTTCTTGTCTCTTGCCCCTTCCTCTCTGTCTCTGCTTCCTGGATGTCATGAACTGAGAAGAGTTTCTCCACCACACCTTTCTGACATGATGTTCTGTCTTATCTTCATCCCAGAGCAATGGAGCCAGCTGACAATGTACTGAAACTGTGAGTCAATATACAGTTTTCCTCTTCTAAGTTGAGATATGGATTCCAGTCATTGGGGGAACTGTCCTCAGAAGGGAAGGTAGTTCTCATGGGACCCGAAGTTAGTTGTTTATGACCAATATTTTGGTCACAGTGATAAAAACTAACATACAACAAATAAAATGTTGGGGGACACACTTAAAGCATATCCAAACCATAGCACCCAATCATTCCACTCACCACTGAGATCAATGTCCCCCAAAAGACTTATATGTTGAAGGCATGGTCCACAGTGTAGTAATGCAGCTTATGCAAAGTGATGCTATGTAAAAATTAGCAGGTGTGATTAGATGTTCATGTGGTTTATTTCTTTCCTGAATATGTATCTGTGTTCTC